CCCCAAAACCCCAAAACCCCAAAACCCCAAAACCCCTTTATTAAGAAACCAGATTGAATAAATAAGTCCTGAGCCGCACCTCCCATTCAGTAAATTCTAGTTAATATGGGCTGAAAGACATTTCATTCAAGGCTATTATGAGTTATTCTTAGTTTCTGGTGTGAGGAGGATGATCTGGAACCCTCAAATCTGATGAATAATATGGCACTTTATAAGCTACTTCGGCAACAGCTCCCTTGCCGTGGGCCCAGAATCCTCTTCCGTCGCTCGCTACTAAAACAGTCGGAGAGTGTTTCAAGTCTTCCGGATCGATTTCCATTTGTTTGACGATTCCTTCGTTGTCCTTGTCGGTGACATCGATCTCGTAGTAGTGGAAGTTGGGGTATTTGTCCAGAACCAATGAAGTAATTTGCTCTCTTGTTTGAGAAGTCTTTCTGGCTGAAGCGTCTTGATCGAAGAACATGACAATGTAGGTGCCTTTCATTGTACCTTCCATCCAATCGATAAGTTGTTCTCCTTTCCTAAGAGGAGGGTCTCCTCTCTTAGCATTGACTGAGACAAGAATTAATGCGATTAGTAAGACCAGGGTGACCTTCATTTTGAATTTTATTAATTATAACTGCTGTAGAAATAATTATTTTTATCATAGTCCTTATTGCAAACACAGTGCTAAAATATTCTCTAGAACCTCTTTCTAAACTCTTTGTTTGGCCTTAAGTGGCCCTTTATTCTCCATAACTCGCCATTGTTGCTCTCTTCCTCCTTTTATGCACTAGCGACTTAATGTGTTATTAAACAGCTAGGGTATTCTAGCTGAAAAGTAGTTATTCTCTATGGCATAAAGGTCTGCTTCTTGAGCTAATAATGCCTAAACTCTCTTTAGAATGATAAAAGCTAAGAAGTTAATTGCTCAAATCTTGTTCTATAATAACTTCATAAGCTTTGAGTGTTATAATACCCTATTTGAGAAATAGAGGCCCTCTTGGAAGGACTTGATTCAGAGGTGGCAGAACATCAGAAAGCCAGATTCCATTTTCTAGATATCTCAATTAATTTTAGAACATTTGGGGTTTTGGGATTTTGGGGTTTTGGGGTTTTGGGG